GGAGAGGGTGAGAAATCCTCATGGATACCCTACAGCCGGCTATAAGGTTATGTCAGACTCTTACTGACTAAAAAACACCCTTTATTCATGCTTATGGCCAGAAGGGCCTTACAAGCTTCATCTGAAGCGATCAACCCCCGAGAGGGGGATGATGTGAATATAGAAACATATTATTACGGGGGGACAGCGCGTACGCAGTCCCCACTACCAAAAATTACGCATCCGAGTTATCCACATTAGGGATAATCGCAGGGGTCAACCCCACCGCAGTGCAATGGAGGAGCCTCGCCCTGGGGGAACCGCCTTCCTGATCACGGTGTCCCCTATGCCAGGTAAGTATGCAGTGGCATGACGAGTATCGTGTTTACATACTCGTCATGCCCACTTCATGACGAGTATCGTGTTTACATACTCGTCATGCCCACTTCCCTCCCTTACTCGCGCTGCATGTAAACAGGCATACATTTTCGCCGCGCCGTAGAAAGAGAGGGGGATACTTCTTCTCCTACGCCGCGCCGGCTGTCTACTGTCCATTAATCTTACTAATTTTCGATCAGGTCACGTGTCCTGACGCGAGTTTAACATTTTTTACCCATTACAAAAAAAAGTGTACAACGCCGCTAAAGATGTTTTTGTCTCATGAATTTTCGATCAGATCACGTGTCCTGACGCGATCAGGTAACGTGTGCTCAAGCCAGTTTAACATTTTTTACCCATTACAAAAAAGTGTACAAACGCCGCTAAAGAAGTTTTCACTTCAAAAAAAACAATATTATGGAACTGCCGGCACGCTACGTTAAGGCCAGATCACAGAAAATGCAGAAAGCACCTCTCAAAATCACAATATCACAGTCACAATGCAGTGACATTGCTGTTGATAAAAACGTTTTGTAGTGTCTGTTGGCCTATATGTATATAGTATTGATGTTGTAAAATGCAGGGCTCTCAGATTCGCTTCGCGTGAACGTGATAAATCCACACAGTGGTCTTTATCGAATTATAATCAATTAATGGAGAAGTATACGCGAAGCTCGACATAGATAGCGCTGCAAACGTTTGACCCAAACCACAGCCGAATATTGCAGCTATTTTTTGTTTTTTGTTGTTAAATATATTAAATAAGTGGTGAAATATATTCAACATAGTCTGTAATACAACTAAAAACGTAACTGAAAAGGAGAGGAGCATCTGTGCAAGGCAGAAAGCTGATCTAGTAGATAGGTACTCTTTCTATTATTATGCTAGAATGCTCATTCTCTAACATAGATGCATTTTCCATGATTATTTTAATAGTTTATGGATCTCATTAACTTTTAGCAGGCTCATTAGTCAAATCTATCTTATTTTTGCATCAGTCAGACATCTCATAGAGTTAGGTTACCTCTGGCTAAAATGGGAAGTATAACATTAGGTTTTTTTAGACTTGAGGCATATGACCGCAATTTTAATTTTGGTCCAGTTTTTATTATCAAAATGAAGACATCCAGATGCAATTACCTGCCCCAAATACAAACCATGGTGTAAAGAGCAGCTCAGTTTTACCCCCCTTTTAAAGTAACATATTAAATTATATTTTAGTCGATAAGCATGCAGTTTTCGCACGACAACCAGGAACTGCACAACGCGGCATTGTCATTTGTTAAATAAAAAGCTTAAAAATGAATATATAAGCTAATAGGTATGTATTTGACAGAAATGGGTCAAGCGATTACAGCGCTCCTAGTGGCCAAATTTTGCAGATTTCTTGTCCATTATAAGAATATATCTACACCAAGCTTTAAATCCGGTATTAAAGATTCTGAAGAATTAGCTTATTGCCAAGATTAAAACATCCAATGTCATAAAGAAAAACAATATAGTACCACTTTGGGAGTAATTATGTTTTTTTAAAAAAATCATAATAACACTCGCTTCTTTAAGTTCCTTCCGCGCCAAGGGCTTACTCATCAGACAGCCACAATTTTCACTAATCGATGCATGGTATTATTAATTAAAAAAAAGGCCAAGTGCGTTTCGTACCACGCTCAGTGTAGGGTTCCGTAGTGGCCTGTAGTTAACACAATATATTTGAGCAGGAGTCTTATTTTCTATATCTGACTAGACTAGAAAAATCAATTAATATCAATCTATGTATCTCAACTATAATACCTAAAGCAAAGTCAAACTGCGTCTCAAACTCAGTTCGATATTATTATTTTTTTAAATACAAATGATAATCCTCATTATACAAGCTTACTATACAGTTGACAAAATTAATATATGACGGATAAATTTTAAAATAATATTGTAGTCTATTTGTATTCCTGTTTTGTTATTTTATTTAATTTTATTTAAATGACCTATCTTGTAATTTGACCTATAATTTAATTTGACATTATCTTCATTTTGACATGTATTCAAATTTGACATTATAGTAACGTTTTTGTATATGTTACCGGCCAAACCCGATTTCAGGACAATCTAGTTTTGCCTAGGCTAAACTGGTTCTTCCTATACGCGATAGGATTAACTAGTATAGCCTAGTCCAAACTAATTTATCCTAAGCGCGACAGGATAAACCAGTTTAGCCTAGGCCAAACTAGATGATCCTCATATAAATACGCACACTCTAGGATAAACTAGTACGACCTAGTCTAAACCAATTTAGCAAAGCGGAAAGTAATTGAACAGACATGTCAGGACTTGTACAGGGCGCGTCATGTAAAAAGAACGCTGGAAGAAAGTGAAGGGAGTGTTTTTTCTGTAATTGGTTTTTGTTTAACTCTTTTGTTGTTGCCAGGAGTTCGGAAGACAGTAAAGCCGGGTACGCATTAGCGATCTGTTACCGTAACATGCGTGATACAGTACGAAGTTCTAGTGTGTACGCTAGTAGCTCAGTTGTAAACGTTGGCTCGCTTCAAACCGCACGCGTACCGTTCTCGCAGCAGGTTATCGAACCACGTACACACTATGCTTTTTGGTTACAGTGCGTGCAACGGTTATGGTTACAGCTCGCCAATGAGTAACTACCCGGCTTAAGAAATTCCGAATCATTCGAACCTTTTACAATTCATCTCACTGTAAACTCAAAATATTTTAAGAAAAGTTTACTAGAAAAAAAAACCACGCGGACCAGGCAGCGGACCGGACTCGAACCCGCACCCTTCGCAATCCGGGCGAATGCACTGACCATTATGCTACCACGGCCCTATTCGCCGCGTCGAAATTTTCCTAGCCTTAAGCTGCAAGGCAGCGCCATCTCTTCGCATTGTAGGTTGCAACCACGCAACCCACAATGTCAAATGAATACTTTTTCAAGTATTAAACATTTGAAAGAAGAAATAGCAATTATAGTTAGTGTTTTTATTTATTTTTAAGCATTTAACTGCTAGGTGTTTAAATCTAAAGAAAAGTTTACTAGAAAAATTAAACTTTTCTTACTTTTCTTTGTATTACTAATTATCCATAACTTGTAACAATGAATCATTATGGTTTTAATAAAAAATATTATTTTTCCAATTACGGATTATTTTATTCAGTTTATCTATTTATTTTGACTTTCTAGATAAACTATAATGTTTACACTAGGCCATACTAGTTTATCCTAGAGTATGCGTATTTTTATCAGGATCAACTAATTTGGCCTAGGCTAAACTGGTTTATCCTATCGGGCTTAGGACAAATTAGTTTGGACTAGGCTATACTAGTTAATCCTATCGCGCATAGGAAGAACCAGTTTAGCCTAGGCAAAACTAGTTTGTCCTGAAATCGGGTTTGGCCGGTAACATATATATCTATTATTATTATTATTATTATTTTTTTCAAAATGTGACAGACATCTCATTTATCAAATTATAATTTCAATTTAGATTAATATAAGTACTTAATTGATATTGTTAGAATAATGTAATTTATAGTGAACTAAATGAAATAACATTGCATGTCAACAAGACAATATGGCTGAACATAATATAATTTGTATACTTGTACACAACACAATAACTTGTATTCGTAATAAAAAATATTTAAATTTGAACAACAGTTGCTTAAATACCTATTATGTACACCGAAATGAATCCTCTTTAAAAGATTCTGAGACCACGGGGCGCTCAGGGGCTTATTTTGGTCTGATGTGACCCTTTGTGCAAGAGGGGTCGAAAAAACGAAGGACTGTTATTATGAAATTTAGTTCAACATCAAATAAAACAATAGTTCAACATTATATCATCCGTTTGGGTCATTTAATCACTACCTGGACTTTGGATGTTGGCAATAAGCTGTTTCAAAATTTTATAAAGGTTCGAGAGCATGAGTGTTGAGAAAATATAAAATGAGATAAACAACTAAATCGATAATATAATCTGCAATAGCTCACCATATTAGGTATGACATATATGTAGGTATATAATATAATTGCAAGAAGGCTTCGGATTTCTTGTGAGTTGTGACAATTTGGCGTGGACTGGAGGCAAATTTTTCGTCGCGTGATCTAAAGACAAATGACGTTTATAAATCATAGCCCGGCAAATATAAAAACTGCTTACTTTTATTGTATTATGAAGAAGAGAAGAGAATCATTATTCATTAACTTTGTATTTTTTCGAGAGCTTTATTGTCATAATAATTGTTGGCGACTGACTGGTTAATCATAGTCATTTTAATTATATTCTTTTTGTCATCCTCTTAATTACTGGGGGCCAATCGCCTAACGGAAATGCTTTGGAAAACGCTAACGCTTACGATTTTATTTTGTTATTTCTAGCCGCCTGAGGTTTTCAAATGCCTCGCGCTCTTTCTTTTTCTTTTGCATTGGTAATAACAATATTAAAAAAAATGAGCGTGAGGTATTCGCAAAACCTCAGGCGGCTAGAAATAACAATATAAAATCGTAAGCGTTAGCGTTTCACAAAGCATTTCCGTTAGGCGATTGGCCCCCGGGTCTCTTTCAATTTTGCCATTGCTTGTCATGCTTGTTGTTCTTGTTATTATTCGTATTATATTTTATTTCTATTTGTAAGGCTCTCTTTTATTTGCCCGTCCACTTATTCGATAGTAATAATAATTTATTTACTTGTAAAAAGGAGCAATATACATATTGCAGATACAAATATGAAGCATTCTTGGAATGGAATAATGCACAATCGAATTCCCAAACAAGGCTTAGCCTGTACCTTGGAAAAAGAAAAACATAAACTTCCCAGACTTTATTGCGTTTTCCAAATATACATTAGATAAAACATGATTTGAACAAAATGAATAAATTAACTTATTTCTAACAAATTTGGAAAAGGACATTGTTCTACGTCCATACATTGTTAGCCTAAGAACCAACAAACATGAAATATTATATTCTAGGTTCTAAATTGCAAGTAAATTACTGTAAAAACAAAGATTATTGACGGACACTTCTGAGAACTTAAATTATCAGTAAAAACTAAATATTTTTTGAGGTTATGTTTAATATTAAATGATACATAGGTCAACCTACGAACTTAATATGAACTCAGTATGAATTGAATTAATATTACAACTAATTCATTTTTATTCAGTGCGATTTTAAAGAATAACTATTAGGAAAAACTTGGTTAGGTAGGAATCATGAATAAAATAAAAACTGTAGTGTTGCTTCTTATTTTTTGACTATTTTTCACATAATTGTATCATATTGTTTTTATTTTTACATATTACATGTATATTGTGTAAATACGCAGCGTGAATGTGTATCAGCTGCTCTTGAATAATTTGGCAGTATGATCCTCTCAGGATGTTGTGGCACAAGTTCTCTAGCACTTGGTAATAAGGTCTCTGCTATTCTAGGTAATAAGGTATCTCCTGTATAATAGGTTCCCAAGCTGGTGGTATATACCAACCATCTTCCCTATTGAAATTTGGATATTTTTTAATCTCAATATCTCAATATTATACAGGATAAAATCCCAACCCCGAGCACACACTGCAAGACCATCAGATACTATTAGTTCTTTTTGTTTGCATAATTTAACATAAGAAGGAGATAGAAAGCCTCTCTTGAGTTTGTTTCGCCGGTTCTTCTCAGAAAGGTCTCCCAATTTTGAAACCAGTGGTAGTTTACGGTGCGGTAGTTAGGGTCAAATAAATAAACTCAAAATTACAAAAAAGAATTTAAGTAAAATACTTTATTAAGTAAATTTAATAATAAATTCATACATAGACAATAAAACTTTAAAAATCGAACAATGAAATAACCGAACGCTCAATAAAAGTCTTTCGAAGGTAGCTCGACAAATTAAATAAAAGTTTAATTCTGACGACGTAGCCTGTAAAGGCTACGAAACGTCAATAAATAAATAAAGTTTCGTGCATTAACCCGTAAAAACTAGTTTTATTTAATTAGTGATGTGCGTGAAAACCTAAGAAACAAACGATAATATAGGTAATTTGTGCTATCGTCGCTACCTAAATAATACTAAACCTTTAATCCAATTAGCTTATTATGTTAAGAAAAGCAAATTTTGGTTCATTAGACCGCGCTCACTTTGGACGGGTTTTCGTAAACATTTTTCCCGTGCAGACGAATATGCAAGAATAATCCCAACCCTCCAAGTATCATAGGAGTACCTACACATACTGGGCGTATACGTACGAGAAGTTTTAACGTCCGTAAACAAACAATTATTAATTAAGCGAACTTGTTGGGATTTTAAAACACTTTTGCACTTAAAAATGAATATATAGAAAACTTATTAACTTAATTTCTAGATATGCACAAATATTTGTACAACGCACGTAGCTAAATTACTATTTTCAAAATTTTCAAGACTGAACCGATTGGATATTGGATTCTGCGAAAGTGAGGACGCCAGCCACCTCAGTCTCCAAGAGATTTTATCTTGTAGACAGATTACACAGGCCTATAAAAAAAAATACCCTGCGTCAAAGACCAGACTACCTGAACTTTGTTTTCGGGGTCGCTGAGTCCAAATATGGTGTCAGAATAGCAAAGTTGGTTCGCGTTTTTAGTAACAACATAAACCATATTATACGAAAAACTTAAATTTTCAGCATTATTGCTGATTTCTGAAATAACGCGAACCAACTTTGCTATTCTGGCACCATATTTGGACTCATCATCATCATCATCAGCCTATTAATGTCCCCACTGCTGGGGCACAGGCCTTCCCTATGGATGGGAATAGGGAGATTGGGCCATGACCCACCACGCGGGCCCAGTGCGGATTGGCGGGTGCTAACGACTGCAGATGCAGCCGGGGCCAACGGCTTAACGTGCCTTCCGAAGCACGGAGGAGCTCGAGATAGTAAATTTTTGGTCACCCATCCAATGACCGACCACTGTGAAAGTTGCTTAACTTCAACGACCGCAGCCCAACGCGCTAACCACTTGCGCCATCGAGCGCCATATTTGGACTCAGCGACCCCGAAAACATAAAGTTCAGGTACTCTAGTCTTTCGTGCAGGCACTTTTTTTTGTAGGCCTGTGTTATTATTCATCGTCGCGTACACGATATCTCCGGAACATTACCTATTAGACGGAGAAAAACGAATTCCATATGCGCACTCAATTCGTACAACCCCCATAAACGTGTCCAAACGCGTGTCCTAATAGGGGTGATGACGGGGTACAGTAAACGAAATTCTATTTAGTCCGTCAGTTAGATGATCAAAAAATAATGGACACGTATTTTTTCTTTGGGCAATCAACCAGAAAATAACAAAATATGCGCGTCAAAGTTTGGGAGTAGGGGCTCGTGACGTCACTTTTGAGTGAATATTCGCTTAAAAGTGTACTCAAACGTGACGTCATGCCACTTTTCAAATCAATATAATTATCTCTGCAATGTTTATATTGTGTGAAAAAAGAAAAAATACGTGTCCAATACTTTTTGATAATCTACCTGATAAACGAAGAAATCATCCCTATTGAGCGCGGCCTTAAAGATTTCCAAACAGTGATACTAAACAAGCAGCTTTTCATGGTATGCCAGCAACCCTTCTGAGAGCTTCAGGCGAGCTGCTGACTACAGCTGTCATGCGAACAATGAGCCACGCCAGCAGGACGAGGAAGGAGAGGCACACTACCACGTGGACACACAGCAACCTGAAGATCAATCAATCAATTAGCAAGTATAATTATAGGAATTATAGTTTTTTTAAGCATTTTTTTTTTTATAGATAGGTCCGACAAATGACTCCACCCCACCTGATGTTAAGTGAAGGTGAAGTCCAGACGTGACGATAGCTGATACAGCAGTTTTACCTGCCACACCAGCCATCCTCACCCTGCCGGCCTGCATGTTGCTTCTTCACGCCTCTTTTAAAGGATCCCAGGTTGTAAGAGGGAGGGAACACGTGAGCGGGCAGAGCATTCCATTTACGGATAGTGCGACAAAGAAATGAGTCACCAAATTTCTTTGTACGCGTTGGAATTGTGGCCACAGTTAGACGATGACAACGTAGGCCAGCGCGCGTGGTCCTCTGAAGGAAAGGCGAAGGTGGGATAAGAGAGAATAACTCCTCAGAACACTCGCCGTGGTACAGACGATAGAACGCGCTTAGTGACGCCACGTCACGGCGTAATTGAAGAGGCTCAAGGTGTTTAGTCACCTCCTCATCGCCTATGATGCGGATCGCGAGCCGCTGTAACCTATCCAAAGCATCGAGCAAGTACCTGGCGGAGCCATCCCAGAGGTGCGAGCAATATTCCACGCAGGACCGCACTTGCGTTTTGTACAACAAGCACAGTTGATCGGGCGTGAAAAAACGCCGCACCTTGTTCAGGACTCCGAGTTTGCGTGAAGCTGTTTTGATCACGGTTTCGATGTTTTTCTTTGGATTCAGGTCTGAGCGAACTTCCATACCGAGCATGGAAATGTTGCTCTGCAGCGGTAGTGTTGTGCCCTGAAGAGATGGAAGGGGAAGGAATGACGATGTTTTTGCCGTGAAAGCGCAAGCCTGAGTTTTCTTGGCATTGAACTCAACCAAGTTCCTGGTACCCCATTCGGTAATGTGGTCCAAAGCCTGATTGAGTTCAATGACAAGATTCTCGCGTTTCTCCTTGGTTACCGCCAGCCCAGCCGCTGCTTGTCCGAGATACCCACATGAACTGTACTATCGTCTGCATAGCAATGAATATTCCCAAGAGGAATCAAGTCATTGATATGCAGCAGAAAGAGAGTGGGGGATAGGACGGAGCCCTGGGGAACGCCGGCATTCACTGACATGAACCGCGAAATGCTACCATCCGTAAGGACACGAATTCTACGCTCATGCAGGAAGTCAGCCACCCAAGAACAGAACTGGGCTGGCAGACCATATGCCGGAAGCTTGGAGAGAAGGCTTTTGTGCCATACCCTGTCGAACGCCTTGGCAATGTCAAGGCTGATAGCCAACGACTCACCACGCTTGTCGATAGCCTCACCCCAGATATGAGTTAAGTACGCTAGAAGATCACCCGTCGATCGTTTCGGTCTAAAACCATATTGACGATCATTAATCAAGGAGTGATCCTCTAGGTAGCGGGTCAGATGGTTATTAAGGACCTTTTCTAAAACTTTACATAAAACTGAGGTGACTGCTATTGGCCGGTAGTTTGCCGGGTCTGAGCGATCCCCTTTTTTGGGCACCGGTTGCACATTGGCATCTCTCCAAGTCTCCGGCACACGCCCCAAAGAATACGAGCATTGGTACAAGCGCGTGAGCACGGGAGACAACTCCGCTGCACATTTTTTAAGTACTACTGCTGGGATGCCATCGGGTCCACTAGCTTTCCGGACGTCAAGTGATTGCAATTCGGCACGAACCTCGCGCTGCCTGATTTTAATATCAGGCATCGTTGTGCCACAGTGAGGTAATGATGGTGGCAGTGCATTGCAATCATCGATTCGGGAGTAAGCCGCAAAGAGTTTTGCCAGTAAATCGGCTTTCTCCTGCGGCTTATGGGCTAGTGTTCCGTCTGGGCATCTCAGAGGTGGCAGCGCGGGCTCGCAGAAGTTTTTTTGCACGGTCTTGGCCAAACGCCAGTAGCTACGGGAGCCCGTAGGATGCGTCATAAGTTCCTGGCCAACACGTGCAACGCGCTGGGCATCCGCTCTAATGTAAGCCTTCTTACAGGCCTTGGAAGCAAAATTGTAGGCTGCTTTGAGTAAATCGACCTCGGGATCCTTGAGAGCGCGACCTCTGATCCAAGCACGATATGCCGCTTGCTTACGCGAAGCAGCTTCAGCACAGTCGTGATTGAACCAGAGGTTACGCGTGCCCTTACTGATGAGATCAGAATGAGGAATATAGTATTCCATACCCATTATAATCTCCTCAGTAATGGCAACGGCACTGGCCGATAGGTCCCTGTCACTGAAGCAGCGCTGCTTCCAAGGGACGGACGCAAAGTAGTCTCGCATACCGTCCCAATCTGCCGACCCATAATGCCAGATACGGCGCTTGACCACTGCTGGACGCGGAGGCTTGGCCTGTGGTGCTTTGGCAGATATCAGGCAGTGGTCTGACGAGCCCAGGGGGGCTCTTACCACAACCTGATAGCCCTGTGGATGGGTCGTGAGCAGAAGGTCCAGTAAAGAAGGCGCTTGACTGGGAATATCTGGGATCCTGGTGGGCTGATCAACCAGTTGCTTCAAGTCATGCGTGAGAGCGAATGCGTGAGCAGAGATCCCTGCATGGTCAGTTTTGGAAGAACTTAACCACAAATTGTGGTGAGCATTAAAGTCCCCCAAAAACACCAATTCTGCATTGGGAAATTGTTCCTGCGCGTCATCTGCTGCCCGACTAAGGTGCTCAAAAAGTCGAGTTGTCTCAACATCGCCGGTGTGGGATCTGTAGAGACACACGTAAACTCTGGGGGGGGGGGGGCAGAGTCGACGTGAACCCCTAACATGGAGAAGGAGGGATCTTGCAAGCAGCGGAGACGGCTACAACAAACATCCGCCCGAACATACAGGTATACACCGGCTTTCGCTTTGAAGGACTCTTCAAGCACGTAGCCGGGATAATTAAGGTAGCCTGTGTCAGCAGGCGGAAGTATTTGTGTCTCCGTCAGGAACAACAATGCTGGCCGTGCTGTCTCGAGATGGTGGTGGACAGCGTTGAGGTTAGAGTGGAGTCCGCGTATGTTGCAGAACTCGACCTCAAACAGCGTTGAAGGCGTGGGGGTATGCACCGCTGAACGTCCAAACTTTGTTTTAGGAGCTGCCATTATGGAAGTGAATGTAACTGCTTGATGTTTAAATCTAAAGAAAATATAACTAGAAAAAAATTCTACGCGGACCAGGCAGCAGACGGGACTCGAACCCGCACCCTTCGCTATCCGGGCGAATGCACTGACCAATTATGCTATAGGAATTATTGCAAATTCCTACCTTATGTTTGTATGTTTGTTGCTCAATCACGCAAAAATTTCAGAATCAATTTAGATGAAAGGAGATTGCTCAAATTGGCCCAAATGCACAAAAAATATTGACATACACGGTAATTTATGGCGTAATTTATAATTTAATTTACAGTCATTAGATTTCAACGGACACCTTTGTATAATATATTTACTTTAAAAAGGACTTTTAATTTTACCGGTTTGGAAAATATACGAATCATGGTACGCATATAGTTTATGACCTCATATATTTTTATCCTGGTAAAATGTATGATTCCTGTGGGAATCTCAAAAAAACTAAATTTAACACGGACGAAGTCGCGGGCGTTAATAATGCTTGATTGAAACAATAATACTTATGTAAGTACCTGTTTAAGCGTTTCTTTGCAGCTGGAGGGTCTTCATCTTTGTCTTTGATTATATGAAGTCTGATTCCTCTGCTGAAGTCCTTGAAATATTGCTTCCAACTGTTAACAAAGAAAGTTAAAAAGAGTTAGTTTGAACGTGTGAGTACACAATTATATCAAAAGGGAAACGGATAGTACCGTATTGCCTATAACTTTAGTACACAATTATATCAAAAGTGAAACGGATAGCACCGTATTGCGTATGACTTAGTTGTCGACAAGTCGTCAACTGTAAGCAAGCACGTAACTAGGAAGAAAACTGCAAATAGCATTGCCTCCAACTGCACTTACTTAAAAAATATATAATATAAATCAAAACTTGATAATTACAAGAATTGGAAACCTTAAAAATCTCTAGAAACACAATCTTTAAAATCAAGCTATTGCTCTAATAATAATAAATCTAATATATAAAATTCTCGTGTCGCGGTGTTTGTGGTAAAACTCCTCCGAAACGGCTCGACCGATTTTCGTGAAATTTTATATGCATATTCAGTAGGTCTGAGAATCGGATGGTATCTATTTTTTTTTAATTTTAGATATTTTTTTTTATTTTTTTTATGATACATCATACAAAAATACACACATCCCTAAATTTTCAACTTTCTACCACCAACCCCTATTTTTTATGGCGGTACGAAGTTCGCTGGGTCAGCTAGTAATAATATAAAATTGGTATTTAGTAGCCTTAATTTTGAGGTCAAATGTAACAGAAACATTACAATAATAACTAATGGAAACAGATAACTATGAGTGGTACCACAACAATCCCAACTTCCTTATTAATAAACGAAGAATAAGCTCAGATTAGCTACTCCATATTTTGTTTCTTTTCATTGAATGGCAAATGGCATTTGGCAAATGGCAATGAGTTAGTAAAACTTTATATTTAAAATTTTGTTACATTCGAATTCGAAAAGATTGTATGCAAAATCTTTTTGAAATATCAAATAAAACTTTCTGAAGAAAATTATTAGTAAATAATTACTAATAAGTAACTACTTTTAGTGGTTCTTCTTATTTGCGAAGGGAGCGCGCACATTTTTACGCGGAAAATCCTGTCTCGATATTTTAAATTAGTGCCTCGCCTCGGGGCACAGGATTTTTATTCTCGTCTCGCTCTAAGGAGGATTTTTCAAGTCGTCCTAATGAACCTTAATGACATAGCAATCAAAATGTGAGTTGACATTATATAAGTAGCGACATGATTTTATGTAAATATCGCTACTTCTGTTAAATACTGATAAGATTCTTGCGGCCATTCCTCTCATCAGCTGAAAGATTTCCTGGGTGGGTGGTAGAAAAATACTTTTTGAAGTTATACTTCTTTAGGCGCGTTATGAAAAAATGATGAGAGTGAAATTTTAAGATGCGCGCGCATCACTGTAACACAAAAAATTAATTAACTTTTGTGTTTATCGCACATTAAGAAAATCTACCAACAAAATAGAAATAGAATCTCTATTTTGTGGGTGCTAACGACTGCATTGTGAAGGCCTATCAAAAGTATTTATTAATCTGGAACAACGGAACCAAAGCGCGATTCAGGAGACTACAGCGCCATCTCTTGACCATTGGTGTAGTAGAACCAAAAACCACATCTTTATTTTTTGTAATAAAGTAACAGTTATAGGTATTCATATTTATAATATTTATCCACATGTTTCTAGTTTGTATATTCGGAATACGTGTTTGAGTTTCATACAAGTGCAAATCACATATGTTCTAATAAATTATATTCAGTAGCGATTTTAATTGAATATTTTGATTATTTATTTTTTTTTCAAATTAAAACTGAACTTTATTGACTGTGTCCTTTTCCAGACTTTTTATTAATTTATTGTAATTAATTATTTGCATGCAATTAAAAACTAATTTTAAACGATGCCAAAGAAGGATAACTTCTCACGCGCCTACATAAGTACACGCACCCATTTTTTTATTATTTATTTATTTAAACCATATTCCTATGCATATGCAAACGGCGGACTTAATGCCATTAGGTATTATCTACCAGGCAACCTGAACGAGAGTTACAGACAAATGATATGGCGATAGGACAAAATGTTTTATAATAAAACGTTTAGAAAATAACGACGATTAAAATGTATTAATACTTATGATTTTATTTATTTTTTAAGCATTTAACTGCCAGATGTTTAAATCTAAAGAAAAGTTTACTAGAAAAAAATCCACGCGGACCAGGCAGCGGACGGGACTCGAACCCGCATCCTTCGCTATCCGGGCGAATGCACTGACCATTATGCTACCACGGCCCTATTAGCCGCGTCGAAATTTTCCTAGCCTTAAGCTGCAAGGCAGCGCCATCTCTTCGCATTGTAGGTAGTCCCGTCCGCTGCCTGGTCCGCGTGGATTTTTTTCTAGTAAACTTTTCTGTATTAATACTTTTATACAAAATTTAATACACCTACATAAACTAACACTCCAATAAAATACATAAATAAATATGTATATACATAAAATATAATAATAAAAAAAACAGATGCAAACTATAAATAATAACAAAATAATGAGATTACGTAGGTCAGGTAGTGTTCATGCATTAATTTTTTGAATTCATTACATTACATACCATATACATTATATTGTTAGAGCTTACGAATGCTGAGTGGGAGAGCATTCCACAGGCGTATGGCAGTAACAGTCGTTAGCACCCACCAATCCGCACTGGGCCCGCGTGGGGGGTCATGGCCCCATCTCCCTATTCCATCCATAGGGAAGGCCTGTGCCCCAGCAGTGGGGACATTAATAGGCTGATGTTGATGATGATGATGGCAGTAACAGTGAAAGATTTGGATCCAAAGCCAGTGTAATGTTAAGTCTAGGGCTGATATCCGTCCGGGTTTCCCCGGAATTGTCCTAGTTTATGGGGCGTCCGGGGAGCGTCCGGGCGGGGTTTCATTTGTAGTCCGGGTTTAAAAATTTCCTGTTTCGGGTCGCCAATTAATCCGTCAACTTAAATGTCTTTGAAAATAAATAAATCTATTCTAACATCGTAACCATAAATGCTGACTTCCAACAAAGATCAGCTTTGTCGCCCATACTGGCATGAGTGGCCCTTGGTGCTGCAAGTGTCCATGGGCGGCGGTGACCGCTTACTATGAGGTAGACCGCTAGCTCTTTTGCCTACATCAACATAAAAAAAGTTGATTTGTGACATTTTTAACTGTTTTTTATTGGTCTGTCCGGGTTCTGGGCTCCAAAATCCGGGGTTAACACGCGTCTTATCCTCATCATCATCAGCCTATTAATGTCCCCACTGCTGGGGCACAGGCCTTCCCTATGGATGGAATAGGGAGATTGGGCCATGACCCACCACGCGGGCCTAGTGCGGATTGGTGGGTGCTAACGACTGGAGATGCAGCCGGGACCAACGGCTTAACGTGCCTTCCGAAGCACGGAGAAGCTCATGTTTAGAGTTTCAACGATCACAGCCGAACGCGCTAACCACTTGCGCCATCGAGCTCCTCATATCGTCTTATCCTGTTTGCCACATTTTAGAGATGGCAGCCGTAGTTAAGTGTGACCTTATAGAAGCTGGGTCGGTGTTGTAGATTGCGGCGTCTGCGGGCGTGAGTCGCGCGCGCAGGGTGCTCATGTTGCGGGTCACGAACCGGAGGTGGCGCGACGTGAACGGGAACAACACCTCACGCGACCTCACCTGACGACGGCTCACTCTCATTAGGTTCAGCCTGAAATGAAATATCCAATGAGGGCTACCGTTTTCTGCCTCACCAGATGGCGCCACTGTTGAGTGAGGTCCTAAATTGTAACTTTTAAAGTTTATTAATACGCACATGAAATCCAAGATTACGTTTAGATCCTATTTTGACACAAAAGAACCATATCCTAAACATAATAGGCCATGCCACAGTGACGCGCAGTTCCGTTTTATTCGGAAAAAATGAGAACATAATCATTTTTCTAAGCTCAAATTTTTAATAACTGACATTCATTGCTACATAACTCATATTTGCCATAATTAAGCCGAATTGTTACCAATTATTCACAACATTATTTTAATTAGAAATAAACCCGCGTAGTCAACCAACAAGCAATGACATTTGACATTTCGGAGACCTCACGCTACACTGGCGCCTCTAGCGGCGGATTCATACGCGATAGCCCTCATTGATATGGGTCAACTTCAATGCGAAAAGATGGCGCCGGTTTACAGCTTAAATAAATAAATAAAATAAAATAAACGTAGGAAGGCCGAAGGGGAAGATCTTCCTCCGAGCTGGGTGATGGTAGCTCGGGAGCCGCGGTCCGACTGATGTTAGTCGGGCATCGTATATATGAAGTGTTAGCTTCCGAATTTCATTTGCGCGATGTAGGCTTCCATACTATTATGATCGCAGTGCACGTAACGCCATCTCTTGAGGATGGTGAGTAATGATTTCCACCGTCCGTTGTATATGTGTGGGGCATATAGATGTCGCCGCCACATAAAATTCATTTATTTTGAGCAACATAACTCGTAATCATAATAATAATACATAATGAATTACTATAGAAATAGGAATATGTCACTAAAAATACAACTTATCATTTACTTAATTTAGTAAATTACATAATTTAAAATTCAAATAAAATAATTAAAAATCAAAAGTCAAGTCAATAGTATTATAGTGTCATACACAAAATGAATATTAAAATGTCATAGGTACACAAAATTTATATCAGACCGCATTTTTTAATATAAAATTAATATAAATTAAGAAATCGACGCAGCCGTTGAGGTCGCGGTAGCATAATTGCTAGTGCATCCGCCCGGATAGCGGAGGGCGCGGGTTCGAGTCCCGCCCGCTTCCTGGACCTCATCGATTTTTTTCTAGTAAAATTTCCTTTGGTTTTATATCCAAATAAGTTATGAAGGATGAATAAGAATATACTGCAAATATACCAAATTAAAATGTTACTGTTGTAGTAAACTAACGTTTTCCAAAAACACGTGACCAGAAAATGAAAGTGAAATGTAACGTGATAGAAATATGGATGCAAGAATCTTAACTATATTTAAACAGGCATGAGTAGTAGATAATATTTGAGTAAAACGATTTTGTGATGCTTCCCCCATAGCAGAGCGACGAAGCTTAATACTAAATGCGCTAACAATTAGCTTCCGGAATTTGAATTAGTTCTGTTGTAATGAATTTAGCGGGAAACGTTATAAACACTAGACGATTGCTTGACTGGCGATTATTTGACACGCTATAAGCATGACAGACATTTATTATTGTCGAAAATTAGCTGAACTGACATTGGTTCATCATCATCATCATCAGCCTATTATGTTCCCACTGCTGGGACACAAACCTTCCCTATGGATGGGATAGGGAGATTGAGCCATAACCAACCACGCGAGCCCAATGCGGATTGGTGGATGCTAACGACTGTAGATGCAGCCGGGACCAACGGCTTAACGTGCCTTCCGAAGCACGGAGGAGTTCGAGATAGTATATTTTTGGTCACCCATCCAATGACCGACCACTGCAAAAGTTGCTTAACTTCAACGATCGCAGTTGAACGCGCTAACCACTTGCGTCATTGAGCTCCTCCTATTTTAGCGAATTTAAGTACGATAGCCGTGAGATAAGCATGACACCATTAATTATTGTATTGTACTTGGAGAATAGATAGATATAATAAATAACAGTTTGGTAGATTCACACACCTTTTGCCTTTATTTCCAAAGGTTTTCATTGCGTACTCTGCTACATACATAGGTATTACTTCCAACAGAAATTCCAACAGCTTCAGTATGTAACTGCAAAAATTTAAACATGCCACTTTAATAAATAAAATTCTGGTCTGTATTCCAAGTTTAGTAACAACACTATACAGTAATTCTTCATTAGTAATTTGACCATCTCCATGACCAGGTAGTGATGCCACCACTTCCGAAATTCTGGAATTTATAATGGCATATTGAACTTTATGTTAGACTAGCGGCCCGCCCTCGCTTCGCTTCGGTCTAGAGCTGAAGTGTAGACTACAGTTTACACAATGACATTCATCTACGATTCTTCTTATACCTGCATGCAAAGTCTCAGCCCGATCGGTTTAAAATTGACAAAGTTTCATACAAACTTTCATTCCCTATTTTTTCCCCTTGGGGGTAAAATTGATCAAAATCCTTTCTTAGCGGGTGCCTACGTCATGACATCTACCTGCATGCCAAATTTCAGCCCGATCCGTCCAGTGGTTTGGGTTGTGCGTTGATAGATGACTATGTCAGTCAGTCACCTTTGAGTTTTATATATATAGATTTATTTTTCATACTAGTGGCCCGCCTCGCTTCGCTTCGGTGTAGAGCTATAGTTTTTGTTCTCAGGCTTGTGCTATAAACAATGACTTTATTTATATAATTACACGTGTTATTGTGAGTCAACCATAAAAGATAGACACATAGACAATTTTATGTAGAATATTTTCGTCATACATGATTTCTATGTAACTTTAACCATTAAGGTTGCGCACGCGGCGGAAGCTTAAAAAATGGAGTAACTTCTCCCGTTTTCCCAACATTTCTCTTCACTACTCTGCTGCTATTGATTGTAGCGTGATGAAAAGTATACTATAACCTGCCCAGGAGTATGAAGAATAATTGTACCAAGTTTCGTTAAAATCCGTCGAGTAGTTTTTGTTTCTATAAGGAACATACACACACACAGACAGACAGACAAAAAATTTACTGATTGCATTTTTGGCATCAGTATCGATCACTAATCACCCCCTGATAGTTATTTTAAAAATATATTTCATGTACAGAATTGACCTCTTTACAGATTTATTATAAGTATAAGTATAGAAAAGGAAATGATGTGGTGTCGTGGGACACCAGGTAGGAACGAAGTTCCTTCGGCTAATGTAGAATCGACACAAATCGCAAACTCGCTTGTGTATGCGACTGTCACGCCTGCGCACGTCTCATTTAACGGTTTTATTCCACGCATTTTTTTCCACGGATTTTTTCTTACGGTTTTACTATCACATTTTTTTCAGTTCGGTCGCGCAGCAAAATCCCTATCCCCTCCAAGCCTGCCGTAAGGAACTTCGTTCCAATAAAGGACTCATTGTTTACTGACCTTTTTGACGCGTGAAAAATGAATGGATACCACATGATGCTGGAGGACGGGTACTCCCTGGCCTCCTGTACCATGTATCGGAACGCATCACCGTAATTGATGGGGTTCTCCATGGTGCAGCAGTTGTACACGCGGACCTCTGGGAGACTATGAAATGTTAATAAGAAAACATCACATTGGCTGGCTTCCACATAAATAGCTTTTAGAAGTATTTGCTGTGCTTAAGAGCTTTGGAGTAAGCCGCTCAGGAGTAGTCGTATTGTTGTATAGTAGAGCAATGTTTTATGCTTTGATTTATTTCGATGGGTCCTATGTATAAGGGCCAAAGTAACATTTTGTTCATTTTGGGTTTTTGGTGGTAAATACTCGCTTTTAATGTAATAAATGATATTCATTGAAATAAATTTATTGCTACAAACACGAAGTTTTGATGCAGTAAAAAAAGGGCTATTGTGTCACACTTTTAAACGTATAAGGGCCTAAACAGTAGTCCGAGACTTATACGCGGGGAGTTACCGAAATTTAATTTGAATTATCGGCCAATCTGTCAGTAATACCGGGTTCACATTAAACGATTTTAGTTGATCAACTGTTACATTGCATGCGATTTGAACTGTCTGAACTATTGAACAAACTTTCTATCAAATTGAAGCAAAGTAATTGAAAAAAAAAACAATTTAACAACAAAGATAATCAATTTAAATCGCTTCGTGTGAACCTGGTAGTGACATTAGTGTAAGACAATAGCTTTGAAAGGATCTTACGAAATTGCTAGCTTTTTATGATACTAATAATAATAATACAGAAAATTAAAGAAGGTTATGATGACTTTAGTTTTTATTGTAGTTAGATAATTTTGCCGGCCAAAATAGAATCAGAATAATGCTTTTTGGGTTCTTTTAAATAGCTTTATATTAGATACATTTTATTGAGAAAGGACACATCCAAAATTATGCTACATTTGAATGTGAATCAAAATGTAATAATATCTTCACACCATCTGAATGGAGCTTATTAATACAAAGATTTAAAATTATTTATAACATCAAACATCCCAGGCTTGCATGCTTTCTACAATGGGACTAAAAACTCAATAGGAGAGAAATCTCTTTGTAAAGATGAAAATTTTATTTTATAAACTGGACCTGTCTGAAAATGCCATTGAAAGCAATCTTTACATATTTTAAGTTACAACCGGCCAACATTATTACATCCATCCATAAAGAAAGACTTTATTATCATAAGCCGTAAAAATATTATTCCATCACACTGATGGATGATCATCATGATTATCATGAAAATTTAGCCACATTTAATGATAACATTTCAATGTATGCGAGTGATGATAATGTAAATAAATATAATATTGTATTTTGATTATAATTATAATAAAGTAGGTACAAATAAAAGTCTGCGATTTCATTGTTCTTAAAAATTATCTGATGTTATCATTAATTTTTGTTCACTTTTGGCTAGCAGCAATGTTAGCATTTATTACTTTTGTAGAAATTTAATTTAATGGTTTAATTTATGATTTGTTTGTTGTAAATGAAAAAAACTTTAATTCCCACTCCCACGTCTGGATAGCGATGGGTGCCGGTTCGAGTCCCGTCTGCTGCCTGGTCCGCGTGGAATTTTATTTTAATTATATTTTCTTTAGATTTAAACATCAATCAGTTACATGCTTAAAAAATAAAAATCATAACTAAATTAATGTATGCACTGCTGGGGCACAGGTCTTCCATATGGACATAATATTTATGGAGAAGTCAGCAGATTAACGTGCCTTCTAAATTATAAATTCTTGATCACTCTTTCTTTAAAGTTGCTTAATTTCCCCGATGCCAGATCAAACTAGCTAATCCGTGCGTCACCGAGCTCCTTCAGAAAACATAGTGCCATTTTTAGTTATTATCTTTCCATTAATTTGCTATAGTGTATTAATTCCGTCGTCCGTCGACCTCCGTGCCCGAGTGGTTTGTACGCCGGATTTCAAGGTGTTGCCTACTCGAGAGGTCCCGGGTTCAAACCCCAGTAGGGTCAGATGTTTTGTGTGATGAATACGAACATTTGTCCAACATCCTTCATGCATCCTTCAACCGCCGGGAGAGCGAGAAGAAGGTATGTGGGACTCCCCCCTGCTCATTTCATCCAGCCCTCGGTCTCGGTGTAATGTGCAGGGTCCTACCTACGCCCAGAACAGGGCCACTAAAACCCAGACAATATTCCTGCACCGGTCACCCGAGGACCTCAGTCCTCCCAATGCGTGTCGAGAGTGTGGATGTAGTCGTGGCACCTGATTTCCAATTGGCCACGCATCCGCCGGTGTTTGTCCATTGCTGGACCCGCCCCGCCATCTGTCCGTTAGCCTAGTATCCCATAACACAAGCATACAGTGATTATTTTGGGTCTAAGCTAATAGGGTATTTGACAAGTTTTACAAAACGATCTCACGTTATTGACTAATGTTTATGGAGTCCGTAAGAAGTGGATATTCATCATTCTGTTGTGTATTTCAGTAAAAATAACCAAATCAAAAACTCCATTTTCAAGTTGCCGCGAAAACGTTTCTCTGGTCAATATGGCGTCTTACTAGTGTGTGACGTCACACGACTGTTATCAAAATGTCAGACGATACAATGTAATGTCACTTTAACCGGAAGTTTACTTGCGTGTGACGTCATTTTAGGCTCCGCCAATCCTAAGCGTTTTGGGTCACGTGACAATAGATAAGAAAACTATTATCTTTGTCGTGGGTTTTTAGCAAAATTATGAATATTCTTTTTGTAAAAATAGTAAAAACCCCTGCCAATATTCATTCTAAACACAGATGCACTACTAACAATTGGCACTTTATTTTTAATACTGTCAAATACCCTATTATTGTTGATACAGCCTCGGCAACATGCTTCCGTCTCGTCTTAAAAAAAGTACCTACCTATTTTTTTTAAAGAGACTAGAAACAAAATATACTGACTTGTCCACTGCCGTCTCCCAGGCGACAGCGATGGCAGTGTCGGCAGCGATGTCTACGGGCAACAAGTCGATGGGATAGTCCGGGCGGCACCCCATGACGTGCATGAGGCCCAGCGACACGTTGGTCACAATGCCGACGGCCCCTTGGAACCCCTGCACCCACCCGGGGAACGGATCCCGGAGAGATGATGCCACTGGAGTCAAAAATTTATTTGACCTATGTTATAAATAAATATTTCTAACACTAACACCAATAGGGGTGATGACGGGGTACAGTGAACGAAATTCTATTTAGTCCATCAGTTAGATGATCAAAAAATAATGGACACGTATTTTTTCTTTAGGCAAACAACCAAAAAATGACAAGTTATAGCGCGTCGAAGTTTGGGAGTAGGGGCTCGTGACGTCACTTTTAAGTGAACCAAAACGTGACGTCATGAGACTTTTCAAATCAATATATCTCTGCAATGTTTATATTATGTGAAAAAAGAAAAAATATGCGTCCAATACTTTTTGATAATCTACCTAATGAACGAAGAAAAAAAAAATTGTCATTATCCCTATTAGCCTAGCCCCAAAATGGCACCCAAAAATTACTCATCATCCCTATTAGCCTAGCCCCAAAATGGCACCCAAAAATTACTCATCATCCCCATTAGCCTAGCCCCAAAATGGCACCCAAAAATTAGTCATCATCCCTATTAGCCTAGCCCCAAAATGGCACCCAAAAATTACTCATCGTCCCTATTAGCCTAGCCCCAAAATGGCACCCAAAAATTACTCATCATCCCTATTAGCCTAGCCCCAAAATGGCACCCAAAAATTACTCATCCTCCCTATTAGCCTAGCCACAAAATGGCACCCAAAAGTTACTCATCATCCCTATTAGCCTAGCCCCAAAATGGCACCCAAAAATAAGTCATCATCCCTATTAGCCTAGCCCCAAAATGGCACCCAAAAATTAGTCATCATCCCTATTAGCCTAGCCCCAAAATGACACCCAAAAATTAGTCATCATCCCTATTAGCCTAGCCCCAAAATCAGCAATCGCTTGTGTTACGGGATACCTACTAGGATAACGAATAGAGTGCATATAAATCTATACTTTATAGTAGTGTATATGTTACAGTTTTTAAATAGAACGCGTTTCCCCTAGTTAGAACTAGTTTTTTACTAAACGCCTTTGTTAAAACTAGAATTGACTAAAGCTCAAAATGGAATATCAGTTAAAACTAGGTTTTACTAGACAACACGCGTTTTTCCAAAGCGAGTCAGTTAAAACCGTTCTCAATAACCACACCACCTGAATAACCTACAGCAGATGTTCAAAATATTTACAGATCAGATTATGGACCCTGTCGGGCACAGCAAAAAAGTGAACAGTGAACTTTATACTCAGTCCGGCTACTTTTAATATCTGTATTAATTTATTCATGTTCTTTTTTCGGATGCTGATTCATTATGTTTCCATAGTACTTAATACACCCGTGTGAAGCCGGGACGGGCCGCTAGTATATAATAAGTATAATAAGTCCTCTTGCACCAAATTTGCTAAATCTCAAATTGACTAAAACAATGTAGCCTTTACAATTGGACGTTGTTAAATGAAAAGGATATAACCCACAACCTTATGGAAAATTAGTTTAGTACTAGCAAACCAGTGAACCAAATGTTCACCGAAACCGGATTTAAAAAAAAATGTATTTAATTAATTGAGAACTTCGGAGATTTTGGATGGTTTCGTTTTAAATTCGTGAGATCTCGAAAACCGGAAGTGCTACGTTACTCAAATCCGGTTTGTAGTCTTATCAGACTATTCTTGACATATAACTTAAATATTCTCTTTATCTATCTTACGGTTTGGCCGCTGAAACAGCACCACAGACAGACGGACGGACGGACTTGTCTAATAGATAAGAGATACCAATGTACTCCTTAAGGTCAACACGACAAAGATCCAAGTAAAATACATGTGTTATATGATTTTGTATTCATATGTTAACAACCCACTTATATGACGGGTTATTATTTTTGTCGTACTTATACACAGTCTGAAATTAAAAATCATATCTCAAAACTAAGTTTGGGTGGGTTGGAATTTGGATCCTTTTCATTTAATAACGTCCAATTATAGTTATAAATTTTATTATTTTTAAAGCATGTAACTGCTTGATGTTTAAATCTAAAGAAAATATAACTAGAAAAAATTCCACGCGGACCAGGCAGCAGACGGGACTCGAACACGCACCCTTCGCAATCCGGGCGAATGCACTGACCAATTATGCTACCGCGGCCCTCACGGACGTCGGACGCGTCGAAATTCTTCTAGCCATTCTTAAGCTGCAAGGCAGCGCCATCTCTTCGCATTATAGGTAACCCACAATGTCAAATGATCAATGTTAATTGGTCAGTGCATTCGCCCGGATTGCGAAGGGTGCGGGTTCGAGTCCCGTCTGCTGCCTGGTCTGCGTGGAATTTTTTCTAGTTATATTTTCTTTGGAACGTCCAATTATGTCAAATTGACATTGACGGTTTGGCATTTTTCTATGGGTTATAGCTAGTTTAAGTTAATCGATTCAACAGATTTGCTTCATTTGGGCCTTAGGCACAAATTCTCGTATATATCATATAAACATTCACCACACCGGCATTCGAATCCAGGACCTCAGACCACTTGTGTAGGAATGGGTATGGAAGCATATATAAACCAAATGAGCAAAGTTAAATTACTTAAGTATCAAAGTCCGCCGCTAGCAAGCTCGCACGCTATAATGATTGCTGCCATGCGTCTGGATGCATCGCAAACTTGGCTTGACGACCTCCGTGGCCGAGTGGTTTGTACGCCGGGTTTCATGGCGTCGCCGACTCGAGAGGTCCCGGGTTCGAAACCCGATGGGGGCAGATGTTTGTGTGATGAACACGAGCATTTGTACTCCAGTCATGGATGTTTAATATGTATTTCTATATAAATGTACTTATATACGTAAAGTATATGTATTCTATCCGTTACCCTAGTATCCCATAACACAAGCCTTATAGTGCTTACTTTGGGGCTAGGCTAATTGGTGTGAGTGTTGGAAATATTTATTTATTTAACTTTCATTTGTGAAGTAAAACCGACACCGACGCCGACCACTGACTGACACAAACAGCAAACGACACTGACAGTGAAACAGTCATCCACACGTTTGAATTGGCTGTTTGCCGTCTGTTTGCCAAGCGCGTGGAGGCACTATAAAAATGTATTACATTTACCTATTGAGGGTCTTAAGATTGCAATAGGATATCCTCTGTTTCCGTGCAGTTTGATCGCACTCTCCGCCATTGACTTCGTTAACATGTAAGTATTCATCTTCGGAGAAAGGAATCTGGAATGAACAAATAAATAGATTATTTTCTTCCCTACGAGTGCAATAACATTATGAGCCTATTATGACCCCACTGCTAAAGCAAAGGTTTTGTCATTCTTTATACAGAACGAAAAGGAGAATTTATGCCAGAATGAGACCCAACATTGATGAAGCCCTCCCGATGAATGGAAAAGGCAGATTGGACCATGGTTTACCGCTCGGGCCCAGTGCGGAGCAACGACTTAACGTGTCTGTCTACCAAACTATGGAGACCGAACTACCGTCTCTGACTGACCGACCAACTGTTTATTTATTTTTCATCCCACCACCTCGGAAAGTGTAATTTTGCGCTTCGAAATCTGGCTGGAAAATTCTATTTTATTCGCTTGAGCGGCAAAGTAGATTTGAATTTAGAACATCACATATAATGAGTACTCAATATAATTGTAAATTCAAAACGTCATTAAACCTATTTAATGTAACCTCTATGGTGCCAAATTTATGATTAGAACTTTTTAAATTGTGAAAAAATTTAAATTTGGAACCTTCTTGGTTTCTTTGTTTTATTTGCGTGCTTCGCGCCATTCTAGTTTTTCACGTTTTATTGCTTAATATAATTAACATAACCTAAAAACTGTACAAAAAAATCAACTAAAATGAGTGACATTAGCGACGATGAAGTTTATCTAACGCCAACTGAGTTAACTGAAACAGTTAATAATGCGCAAATGAGCCTTCTCCCTCAGCAATCACGAGAGAAGTATTTGAAACAGTACGATATATTTAACATGTGGCGACTAGCTAAAGGAGCAAAAACTTTCTCCGAAAACGTTTTGCTGGCATATTTTATAGAATTATCTGAGACCAAGAAAGCAAGCACGCTATGGAGTACGTATTCAATGCTAAAATTAACAATTAAGATGAAGAAAGACGTTCATATCGACACCTATCATAAATTAGTGGCATTTTTAAAAAGAGCCTCATCTGGTTATAAACCAAAAAAATCGAAGGTTTTCACAGCATCTGAAATTGCAAAGTTTATTAATGAAGCACCTGATTCCGTATATTTAGCGGCAAAAGTAAGTCAATACGTGTAATTTTTTGTTGTTGATAAAATTGTACATAGTACTTACAATATTTTTAATTTGATTAATTTATTTACGATTATAAATACTTCTTTTGTTACAGGTTGTTCTTATTATTGGTATAACCGGAGCATGTCGAACAAATGAACTTACACTACTTAATGTCAATAACGTATCAAAATATTCTCATAATTCTGATGAATTGCTATTAATTAATGTACTAAATACCAAGACAAAAAAAGACCGCAACTTCGTTATTCGCAAGGAATATGTAAACATTGTTCAGAAATATCAAGCTTTACGTCCTTCTAACACCCCAATTGAACGATTTTTTCTACAATATCGCAACGGAAAGTGTATCCGACAACCTATGGGTCAGAATAAAATTGGCAGTATTCCACGAGAAATAGCAACTTTTCTCGGACTTTTAGAACCCCCGTTATACACCGGTCACTGTTTTAGAAGAACCTCAGCCACACTTTTGGCCGAATCAGGGGCTGATCTTCTATCGCTTAAGCGCCATGGAGGCTGGAAGTCTAATTCGGTTGTAGAGGGATACATAGAGGATTCAATCCAAAGTAAATCAAAAATTTGTAATAGTATCGTGGAGGCCATAACGCTGAAAGAACCTCTGTCAGATTCTTGGTCTCGCCCTTCTACATCTAAAATGAGCCCCCATAAGATTGGAAACAATAGCCCTCTCTCGCCAACATTTACGCCAATAGAATCCAATGAATCGGCACAACTATTTAAAATTACTGATACGAGTAGTTTACCACAAAACAGCGCACAATTCACAAACACCAACATAACATTACCTAACAAAAATATTAAACTTAACATAAGTAACTGTAGCAACGTTACATTTAATATTTCTTAATTATTTTCTACTTCTTATTATTTTCTTCAATTTATAGATTATCTTAATGTGTTTTAATTGAAATAAAAATATTTTGTCATTATAAATTGTTTTCTTTTTCATTTTGTCATTTCCTCGCTGAGGTGGGATGAAAAGTTACGTATTGCACTCGAGTGGAAAGATTTTTCACCTTGTGCTCGTTTGTTTCCCTCGCTGACGCTCAGGATTCTAATTTAGAATCACTCGCTGCGCTCGTGATTCAACTTTAGAATCCTTCGCTTGCTCGGTCATCCAAATCGAGCACGCGGTTAAAAAGGAACTTTCCACTCTTGTATAATAAATAACTATTTTTTGACACACCAATAACAATATCACAATTATTACATAAAAAGAAAAACAAATGGGTATTACAAGTCTATGTGAATTATATTTTAAGGCAATTTCCATACATTTTTTGGCACAATATTAGTCTCTAAAGTTATTCTTCAAATATCTATATGAGGTAACTCTTGAAAGGAGATTGCTCAGCTTCCATACATGTTTGGCCTAAAGACCAAAAATAATGAAAAATTGTTTCCTAGATTCGCAATTATATATAAATTACTGTAGAAACGAATATTATTGACGGACACCCCTGAGAACTTCTATAAACCATATACACTGAAACATATTAAAATAATAAAAAACAAAAAAGTTATATAATAAACTAGGGAAATCAAGACAAGTACCTGGGGGCCAATCGCCTAACGGACATGCTTTGGGAAACGCTAACGCTTACGGTTTTATATTGTTATTTCTAGCCGCCTGAGGTTTTCTAATACCTCACGCTCATTTTTTTTAATATTGTTATTACCAATGCAAAAGAAAAAGAAAGAGTGCGAGGCATTCCAATACCTCAGGCGGCTAGAAATAACAAAATAAAATCGTAAGCGTTAGCGTTTTCCAAAGCATTTCCGTTAGGCGATTGGCGCCCTAAAATTATGGATTAGATTCAGGTACATAGAGCATGTAGATTAACAGATAGTTGCCTATTTTTAAAGTTAATGCAAAAGAGTAACTTTTAAAGGTGTCCTTTCCGGTTATAATAAGGTATCTGTGATAGAAACCGTGTGATGATTGTGAATGAGCCACAGATTAGAGAGAATTTTTAAACTCTCGTTAACCAAAGAAAGCTAAGAGATTTAGGTTCTATAGCCATATATTCAGTAGCTTCATTATTTTTGTTATGTTTTTAAGATAACTATATTTTAGATTTTTAGTGTATCACACCTTATAATTTTATTTATTTATTAATTTATAGTCAGGGAACGTAGGCCCATAGATAGATACCTTAAAGTCTAACGTATATACAGATTATAATGTGTTTATGGAGGTGTTTGGCGAAAAATGTATGGCAAATTGGCAATAGACTTTATGATGTCGCCTACCATCTATAATAATTGTCTGAGCACATTTGCATCTATAAGAAAATGATAATATAGTGGTGGATATTAATACCACAGTGTAATAAAAAAATGATTTATTTTATCGATCTTTACAAAATAGATTTGTTTTTATGTTATATAAATAACTTCGATCAGTCTTTGGCTGAATGTTACTATACCCATAGCCATTAAAAATGATTCGTATATTTTCCAAACCGGTAAAATTAAAAGTCCTTTTTAAAGTAAATATATTATACAAAGGTGTCCGTTGAAATCTAATGACTGTAAATTAAATTATAAATTACGCCAAGAATTACCGTGTATGTCAATATTTTTTGTGCATTTAGGCCAATTTGAGCAATCTCCTTTAGTAACAAACACCTCTAGTATTTGTTACTCAATCGAAAATATTTTCTTTTTCTGTTAACCGAAGCTTGGACAATGCTTTTAGATTTTTCGTATAAAATCTGAAAATGTAAGGTAATTTAAAGTTTAAGCGCTTAACCTCTTAAGTTGGAGCTCCGTCCTGCGTCCCCCGTGGAGTGACTCTTGTATCATCGTATCCAGATCGCGCGGCAGCGGGTACACCGCCTCCTCTATGAGCGCGCGCTCCGCCTCGCAGTACGCCGTCGACACGTGGATGAGGGCCTGTCAATTTGAAAACATCTTCACACTTTAAAACGTCCACATGATTTGTATACCTTCTTAAAATAGTAAGTACTAGCAAACCAGTGAACCAAATGTTCACCAAAAAAAAAAATGTATTTAATTAATTGAGAACTTCGGAGATTTTCTGTGGTTTCGTTTGAAATTCGTGATTTCTCGAAAACCGGAAGTGCTACGTTACTCAAATCCGGTTTGTAGTCTTAACAGACTATTCTTAACTTATAACTTAAACATTCTCTTTATCTATCTCTTACGGTTTGACCGCTGGAACAGCACCACAGACGGACGGACGGACTTGTCTAATCGATAAGAGATAATGCCAATCAGCTACTACAACCCTACTTATATGAGGTTACGATGAAAACTTAAATCTACACTTTTATTTCCACCTAAGACTTTATCTGTACCCTTCTTAGTACGAGTTCTACAATTACGAAAACTATGATAGTTTTCGTGAGCTCGCACCGTATTAAGAGTACTGATTTTATTATTTTCGTTTCAATACAAATAAACAGTGTTGAAATTTTATCATGAAATCATTGGTTTCTTATTAAATTTTAAGTATATTTGGTTACTTTTCACCAAAACGTACATAGAAACATAATTTACAAAAAAAAGGTAAATTTAAAAAATCAAAAAACCCGACTGCTTAATTATACTTTAAATTAAAACTGAAAAGAAAAAAAACAAGTCCAGTAGTCTACAATTCTGGTAATAAGAAAAAAGCTACTTTAACAGTCGGGACCCATTAGATATTCAAGAATACATAATATTTTTCAATAATGGGTCCCGACTGTTAAAGTAGCTTTGTTCCTTATTACCAGAATTATAGACTACTGGACTTGTTTTTTTTCTTTTCAGTTTTAATTTAAAGTATAATTAAGCAGTCGGGTTTTTTGATTTTTTAAATTTACCTTTTTTATTTCACACTTTTTAGTTACCTAGTTAGATCTTAAGACGGTAAATACCGTAGTCTTGTTACTTCAGGAAGGGAATTAATATCGCAGGAATTATTAAGTAACTTGCGGTGGTCTAAAAGATTGATTTATTAAGACATATAGAGACTTTACCAGCGGGGTCAAGGCTACAGATGGGCCTTTTTCTGCCCTTTTTCACAAAAATGTGTGAAGTTAAATCAAGTCGTTACATAAATATTTAATGTATGTAAATTTTATAGAAAACTAGCCCTTATTCAAAAAGTCATCTTTTGTTTATGTTCTTTCTAGTAGTTTAGCAGTAAATATAAAATTCATTTACTTTTATTCGTCGACTATTTAAAATTGGCAGTGGCTGCATTGTCATGTCAACGCCGGACGTCTAAGATTGTGATATACACAAATGCAGTGTCATATCCTAGTCTCATAATTTGATATACCTACATAATTCACAGAAACCCAATATGTAGATGCCAGAAGTTAACTTCAAATGTTGTTAATCACCCTATATACAATACCAATCAATGACGTTTATGTCGCAGGTTGAAGAGAGTAGTAATTCCCGTCTGTTGTTTTGGATAATGGTGGCAACTGCCTTAGATCGCTAAATTAAATAATTATGCAATCACCAAAGCAAAGTTTATAATATTTGAAAACTAAAGACGCATAATAAAATTTTGATAACGTTAGGTAGAGCGCCATAGCAATCTCATTTATTATCAATTTATTTTGTAGTTTTCTTTTAAAGCGTTCACATATTATAACAGGTCAAAGACTTTGTGATCGACCCTTTTTTATTGTTGGTAGTGTAAAGCTCAAATGAAGAGTACTTCCACATATCAAGCGTGCTGCTACCAGCCTAGTAGGTATTGCAAATAGTGCAATCATAGCAATTAATTTCCATTTTTTTTTTGTGTAATAAAAATACCGAATATCGTATCACTGTTAAGCACAAATGCTAAGTAACTTTTACAAAATATAATATAATATAATCAGATAACCCTATTACTTACTTTATTTTTAAATCTTTTTCATCAATTAAATACTATTATCCTAACTATATATACTAATATTACAAAGAGGCAAGATTTGTATGTTTGTAACAAATAATCTGTCAAACTACTAAACCGGTTTCAAATATTAATTCAACATATAAGGTAGCTACATTATTTATTATAACATTTTTCTTTATTTAAATACATTTTGTCCGAGTGACATAGGCTATATTTTATCCCGATAAATAAATTTCGCCCGTACAATGCTCGGGTGGATCACTAGTAAGTATAATATAATATTATAGATGCGAAAGTGAGTTTGTTTGTTGGGCTTCCGTGCCCTAATAGCTAAACCGAATATTATGAATTCCCATATAGAAGTAGATGGGAACTTGGTTCTTAGCTACAACATCGCAATACTTATAGGCGTAGGGTGATGAAAGGGGTGATTTACCTATAAAAATCTACATTATTTACTTTGAATTTTGCAGAATTATTACAAAACCAATATTATAATATATATATATATATATATATATATATATATATATATATATATATATATATATATAAAATACAATAATCATAAATACCTATTATGATAATATATTTTTCATCATTTAATAAGAAGGAACTGTATCACAGTTTTATTGTTAGTACTTCGTATAGGATCAGATACTGCGAATAGCCCATTTTTTTTCTTTTACATAGTACACCGCGCTATCACTTTGTCATCGTTGTAACTTTTTAAATATTTGTCGAAATGATATAGTGTAAGAAGCAAAGTTTATCGTCTTTAAATATCAAAAGCGATAAAAGTATTTGTTTTGATAAAAAAAGATTTGTTAATACAAAATGTGCATTTTGGAAATAGATATCAAATAATATTTTAGTTTTGATTCACTATTTTAGCGGTAATGACTTACACATTAAAAATAGATATATGGTGTCACGGACTTTTTTTTAGAACTATTTCAGAGATACATTTTCACTCTATATTACATTCATGTAACTTTTATTGTTATTGCAGTGCAGGCCAAAATGGCTCGCAGATGGGATATTTTTTTCCGTCTTATGTGACACTTATTGTTATATATTGCCCAATTCACTCGATAACTACATAAATTATTATATATATGTAATTATCATATATGAGCTATATTACTGTTAAGTTTCATCAAAATCCATTCAGTATTTTTCAAGGTGAAAGAGTTACAAAGATCCATACAAAGGTAAGATTGAAATTAAAAGCGTAAGTGGTTAATATACAACTTTAAAGCGTTGTAGATCCTAAACAATCATATAAAATGAAAAATGGTGTTAGGAACCTAAATATGATTTTTGATTATCTAGACAGTGATACCCCACTCGATATATTTTGTCAACTTATTTTTTTTACTTCGTCACAATATGGCGCCCAATTTTGCCCATATTGAATTTTGATTACTATCATATCTTTAGTAGCACTCCCATGATTGAGACGAATCGATTGATGTATAAATCATTAAAATCGGTCCAGGCGTTTGGTCTCTAGTGTGCCACAAAGGAACAAACATACATATATAGACTGTTAAACACATAACCCTGTCTGCGCGTCGCGCTTCGCGCTCTTGCATTGCGCAGCCGGGTCTGCGCGTCGCGCTTCGCGCTCTTGCATTGCGCAGCCGGGTAATTACGTAAACTATGATAGTTTTCGTGAGCTCAAACTCGTACTAAGGGTACCGAATGGATTTATATTCACAATTTACTAAGGAATTTGCTTGCACGATATGGAAAAGCAAATTCGCTTATACGCCACTTTGATCGAAAATAATTCATATAATTACACTCATTGCATAATCATCAGCTTTTTTTTCGCGTCGATCTTTTTATGTTTCAATAAGATTTGAGCTCTTGACGCTTAAGCGTCCCAATGTTTTACAATTTTTTTTAGTTCATAACGCTGGAGCGACTTATATTTTAGTGTTTTGAACCAATGTCGCTTACACCCAACTATTTGGCGTATTGTTTGATTTTTGCTTAACTAGAAATATATTGCATAAATTAAAATGGTTTTCGCTTAAGCGACCTCTTATTCAGAAAACAATATATCTTTATACATATTGGATATATACATAGTACTAATCTTAGTTAGTCCTAGTCTTAGTAGAATGGAGGGGTTTTTCCGCAACTCGAGACCCCAGTGCCTATTTTGCGTGGGGATTGGCATCAGTCCTGCCATCCCAGCTCCTCCAGGAAGCTCAGCAGTTCCCGAATGTTACTGCAGGCCTCTACTATTGTCTTCGGGCTTCCCATTAGAGAGTACAAATGTTTTGAATTGTACTAAAAATTGTTTCCCTACCACTCGTTATTGGACATATTTTTAGCTGCGGAGAAAAACGAGCGAAAAAGCTCCGCAAAAAGTATAATGTAACAACATTTACAAATCATTATGTTGTAACAACGTTAATACAATCATGATTTATTCAAACCCAAGCATTTTTGTCGGTCATATAATCAGACACTTTGTAATAATCTTATTTAATAAGTGCTTTCTTGTAGTATCTTTTAATTTATTTATGGTTAACTCTTGGATATTGCTTGGGACTTTAGTGTATATGCGAACACAAAGAACTTTAAATGAATTATTGATTTTGTGAAGCCTAGTAGCAGGTAAAGTTAGTTAATTTTTGTTTCTTGTATTAAGTATTAGAATATTACTGTTTTTAAGAAACAAGTTAATATTTATTCGTAAAAGTAAAAAAAATCGTACATGTATTGTGATGCGACCGTCATTATGCCAATTTCTTTAAACGTATTTCTTAAGGATTCCTTAACTTTAGAATTACAAATTGATCGAATAGCTCTCTTCTGCAGCACAAAAATAGTTTGAATGTCGGCGGCGTTTCCCCACAATAAAATTCCGTACGACATTACACTATGGAAATAACTAAAGTACACTAATCTGGCCGTATCTACATCCGTTAACTGGCGTATCTTCATTACGGCATATGATGCACAGCTAAGTCTATTTGACAATTTATCAATTTGTGGGCCCCATTGAAGCTTAGAATCTAAAGTAATCCCTAAGAATACTGTGTTGTCTACAATGCCCATATTCATATCCTTAACATTATACAATTATATGTAACTTTATACCAGAAGAATATTTAGAAAACATTTTCTATGATTGTGTTTTAATTTACATGACGCTATTTCTCATTTAAAATGAGTTGTGATTTTTTATTTGTGAAGAATAAACTATTATTCTCGTCTTTGTAGTTACTAAAGTGGCGTTTAAGCTATTTCGCATTTCCACTGTCGATATAATTAATCCGGGGTATAAAACCAGGGTGAGAAATTACATTCAATACCAAACAAGGAAAAAAAAAGAACTCCTCTTCTGAGTGGAATTAAACATTATGATTATAGCTATTAACGGGATTGTTACCATGTAACTCCGTGATCATGGCGCTTGCAACAGTGCCGAAATATCGGAGACTCATATAAAACAAGGTACATGGTAACAATTCCGTTAATAGCTATAATGTTAGTGACCATGAAAGTTTAAAACAATAAACCTAATGAATGCTAAGCGGCAGTTCAAATGTACATTAAAGAAACATTTTTCAAATAAACATTTGTCATTAAGTTTAATTCCACTCATCGTAAAGACATGTGACTTGATTATGTACACAGTCAAATAATTTCATTAGGTATTTATAAAGACTCTTATGGAAATAAAACGACGGGTTGCACTCCGGGAGTGCCGGCAGAAGTGAAAACTTGAATATTAACGTTGTGCATTTTTGATATTTTGGAATGGAATTGCTTTAATTATCAGTATAAAGTATGTATGTGGTAGAATACAATATTTATTTATTGCGCTATCGTACACAAACATGACAATTTATATTACATTAAAAAAGTTTATCTCTCTGAAAAATCAACTTACATGAATCACGTTTAAGCGCACTTAGCGACATCTATTGCAAAGAAATCAACTTACATGAATTACATTTAAACGCACCTAGCGACATCTATTGTGAAAAAAATGCATTTTCTTCGCAATAAAGCTGCCACGTGGACATCCTAGATTATTATAATACGATAAAATAAAATATTACTATGTTTCGTCCAATATATTGAAAGTCAACAGCCTTTCCAATTTTATTGTGTGTCATGATGCGATCAGCCCACGTGTTTAACCTGACGCGAGTTTAACATTTTTTTACCTATACAAAAAAAATGTACAACGCCGCTAAAGAAGTTTTCACTTCAAAAACTATATGACATATGTACCGCCATCTTGGGCAGCCGGTCGCAGATGTCCAGCAGACACATGGGCCCCAGCGTATTAATCTTCACCGCCACCTCCAGCTGTTCGTTGAACTTGATCGTCGCTGCCAGGTGGAACACCACCGACACCTGCAGAAAGATTTAAATACATATCCTGAAATATCTATTACTAACTTACCCATTTTTTTGACCTTGAAATAAAATCATGAAAATCCCGAATACAAGACCTACCGATTTGTTAAAGGTTAACTCCGAAACAAATTATAAACCAATGAAGAAGAAAACTCACCTGCTTAATTACATATGAACATGAATGACATACAAACATAATGAATGAACATATAAGGCGAATAATCTAAACCAGAGATTAAAAAATTAACTAACTATACAGTGTATAGTGGCTAATCGCGTCATTAGCAAACAAGATCCCACTATGTGGTTACCTTTAACAATGTTGGGTCTCATTTTGGCATAATTTTCCTTTTCGTTTAGTATAAAGTATGTCAAGGATACACTTTTTAAACGACTTCAATAAGGAGGTGGTTCTCAATTCGGTCAGTATGTTTTTTTATGTTTGTACACAGATTACTCTTGAGATTTCCGATCCGATTTACGTGATTCTATTTTTGTTCGATGCGGAATAGTTGCTAAATTGTCTCATAAAAATCTTATCCCCTTTGCTTACTTGAACGTTATAATTTTATAATTCGTCGACCTCCGTGGTCGAGTGGTTTATACGCCGGGTTTCATGGTGTCGCCGACTCGATAGGTCCCGGGTTCGTTTCCGGTGGGGGCAGATGTTCGTGTGATGAATACGAGCAATTGTTCTCCAGTCATGGATGCTTAATATGTATTTCTATATATATGTACTTATATATGTATCAGTATATGTATTCTATCCGTTACCCTAGTATCCCATAACACAAGCCTACAGTGCTTACTTTGGGGCTAGGCTAATTGGTGTGAGTGTTGGAAATATTTATTTATTATTTATCTATTTATAAGCATATTTATTACTTGGAACTATGTAATTTTAACGATACTTTTTTCATATGGACACCGGTTACTAAAAGATTTCCTATCCGATTTGAGTGATTCTTATTTTTGTTCTACGGGAGATACTTGCCGTTTGGTCCTATAAAAAATGTTTGGTTTGACTTAGAACTTTTTTTCGATATAATAATTTGAATGAAATAATATAATTAAAACGAAAAATAAAACCAAATCATGAACGATTTACGATTCATTCATTTACGATTTTAAAGACGGTTTTATCATTAATATAAATAAATATAAATATTTCCAACACTCACACCAATTAGCCTAGCCACTAAGCTAAGCACTATAAGGCTTGTGTTATGGGATATTAGGGTAACGGATAGAATACATATACTGTACATATATAAGTATATTTATATAGAAATACATATTAAACATCCATGACTGGAGCACAAATGCTCGTATTCATCACACAAACAGCTGCCCCCACCGGGATTCGAACCCGGGACCTCTCGAGTCAGCGACACCATGAAAACCCGGTGTACAAACCACTCGGCCGAGGAGGTCGTCAAAATTAAGTTAAATTAAATTGTTATTTTATTGATAAGTTTAATTTAATGTTAATAAGAGAATCATGCCAGAATTGGGCCCAATACTTACATTGTGCAGTTCTGCAACAGATGTCTCATTAAGACCGAGATTGGGTCTAGTGATATCCCCCGGGATGAGATTCAGTTTTTCCAGCTGCTTCGGGTTTTTTCCTCGAAGCACATCGAACAACTGCCAACGTAAAATATAATTAGAAAGAATTTGTTTCACTCTTAACTCTTTTAACATTCGTTCATTATGGAAAAAATAAGAACAGGGTCGATTTTTTGAAAATGTCTGTTATATAAACACTACCTTTTTTTTTTCGGTAATAGGTAAGCGCTTGACCATAATTCGCCTGATGGAAAGCAATATTATGGTCTACGATGGAGCGCGCTTACCTAATAAAAACCGGTTCACTCTTGCTTTGAAGACCGCTAGATTGTAGTGCTCGGGGAACAAGGGCTCAGGCAAGGAATTCCACAGTTTGTGGTGTTCATATAACAATATGTGGAAAGCCACAGGGCTCCACGGCACTGGGACCTTACTCACCGATAGATACACAGCTGATTATAGACTAAATTGAGTCAGGGTAGGCAATGGTGCGAGTCAATTATTTTTGGTATCGCAAGCGTATATAGGCTATGGTGGCCGCTTTCCATCAGGCGGGCTATCTTTAATAGGTAAATATTTATTAATATTTTATGTCAACGCTATCAAAAGTTCGAGGAGCTCGATGGCGCAGGTGGTTAGCGTGTGCGGCTGCGATGGTTGAAGTTTAAGCAACTTTCGCAGTGGTCGGTCATTGGATGGGTGACCAAAAAACATCTATCTCGAGTTCCTCCGTGCTTCGGAAGGCACGTTAAGCCGTTGGTCCCGGCTGCATCTGCAGTCGTTAGCACCCGCCAATCCGCACTGGGCCCGCGTGGTGGGTCATGGCCCAATCTCCCTATTCCATCCATAGGGAAGGCCTGTGCCCCAGCAGTGGGGACATTAATAGGCTGATGATGATGATGATGATGATCAAAAGTTTCGACTTATTTGGACAATTATTTACCTGCAAGTCCTTAATTTTGTTGAGCTTCGTTTTCAGAGATTCGTTCTCCTTGACCCTCACCAGGAGATGCAGGCAGCTGATGTCAGGACACGTGGACAGCAGTCGCTCAGTCAACACCTGCGTTGATATTACAGAATGTAGCCACTATTACACCAACGTATATCAGAATATAAAACCAGATATGATATGCTGAATCAAAAGAAAAGTTTTACTAGAAAAAAATCCACGCGGACCAGGCAGCGGACGGGACTCGAACCCGTACCCTTCGCAATCCGGGCGAATGCACTGACCAATTATGCTACCACGGCCCAGATGGCCGCTTCGAAATTTTCCTAGGCTTAACCTGCAAGGCAGCGCCATCCCTTCGCATTGTAGGTAACCCACAATGTCAAATGAATACTTTTCCAAGTATTAAACATTTGAAAGAGGAAATAGCAATTATAGTTATGTTTTTATTATTTTTAAGCATTTAACTATAATGCCTGGTCGCGTGGATTTTTTTCTTGTAAAACTTTTCTTTAGATTTAAACATCTAGCAGTTAAATGCTTAAAAATAATAAAAACATAATGATATGCTGAGTCAATATTTACAGAAAAATCTTTAGATATCATATTATAAAGAATTAAAATTTATTGGTCCGAAAATAGTCCCCTGTGAAACACCACCTTTGTCGCTATGAAGCAAGTTTAATGTTATTTACCTGTCAACAACTTTATTTACTACAGCACAGCGACGTTGGTCAGTTAAATAAGTATGATGTAGTAATTCTCAGGTATGCATGAAAATTTACAATAGAGGTATTGTTCACCCAATACCTACGTAAATACGAAACCCTTGGAATGTAAAACCGACTCGAAATACTCCTCAGATCTTTCAAAAAAGTGACTCATAAAAAATCAGCCATTCACATACGGAGTTTAAAATATGGAAGAAGTAATATCTATCTGGACCACACATAGCAAAGCAAGTGAACATCAATAGTCTCTACGTACACCTCGTGGAAAAAAGCGTGACATTATGGTGAAGATGATTTATTATTTGCAGATCTAACTTGACCAACGAATCCTGTGGCTCCAGTGATGAACACCTCCCTGCCAGCGTAGAACCGAGGGATCAGTGCCGTGTCCCGGTCAGGGTTCCACTGGTCGACAGATGACGCCATGTTGCCCCGTTACTGTGAACACAATGACCGTTCCTTCATTTGAAAATTGACAAGAATCAACTCGGCTAATGTATCAGGCTGAATTCCTTTCGGTATCCAAACAGATGCAATAACTATTCACAGCAGATTCGCCAAGAACTAGTACAAACAATGCAAAGAGCCTTATAGAATATGGTAGATGGAAGAGAAGTTTTGGTCAGTGGTCTTGATGAGTCTACTGATAATACGGATGCTTTCATAGAGTCATATCGTGTATCATACAAAAAAGTGTAAAAACAGTTTTTTTTTATGTTATAGGGGGCATACGAGCAGACGGCTCACCTGATGGTAAGTGATCACCGTCGCCCATGGACACTTGCAACACCAGGAGTATCACAAATGCGATGCCGCCTTTAAGGAAGGAGTACGCTCTCGTTTTTGAAGGTTTTTGGGTCGTATCGGTCCGGAAACACTGCTGGCGACAACATATTCCACAGTTTTGTCGTACGTGGTAAAAAATTTCGACAAAAATGCACGGTTGTGGATAGTGACGCATCAAGATGATGGGGATGAAATTTTTGTCGCGATGTACGATGGCGAAATGCAGCAGCTGGAATTAATCCGAACAATTCCTCAGAACACTCCCCGTGATAAATGCGATAGAAGATGCAGAGCGAAGCTACATCCCTACGCAAGAAGTAGCTAGTATTCAACAACAGAGTAAACAAGGGAAAATGCCCCAATTGATTGATTGAAATGATAGCCAGATTAACCAGATTAGTTGTTTGGAGGTTAGCGTTAAAAAAAAATGTTGAGTTAAAAACAAGAACAAACGAAAACTCTAAGATCATCTAGTGGTACCAATATTAAAATCATATTTTATAATTTAATATGTGTTCATGAATATTCCCATTTCCTAATTGTACATAGTTAAGTATTATCTGAGAGAATTCAACAATGCTTAGTTTTAAATAATGTTAATGCGATAGGTGTTAGGTTATTTTACTGAATATGCTAATATTGAACAGATTCAATTTTTGTAGAAACAAACAATGACATATAATTTTCAGAAATGTAAAGAAAATGTATGTATTAGATAATATCTACTTAGTCCAGGCATCAGACAGGATATATCTTTATATATATAATTCTTCTGTGAGTGTGTATGTCACTGAACTTCTCTTAAACGACTGGACCGATTTTGATGAAATTTTTTGTGTGTGTTCAAGGGGATCTGAGAATGGTTTAGATTCACAATTTTGTCCGCTGGACAACCCCTATTTTTTTAGGGCGGCACGAAGTTCGCTGGGTCAGCTAGTTATGTATATTTTCGGAACTCCACAACTAAGGCAGCGTTGTTATATACATAGTTAAATGTGACTTTAAGAATTTAAAATATTTGTAATATAAAATGTGAAAAATTTACAGATTTTTACTAGAAAAAAATTCACGCGGTCCAGGCAAATGTGACACGGGGCGCGGCCATTAAGGTCGCGGTAGCATAATTGGAAGTGCATGCGCCCGGATAGAGGCGGGTGCGGATTCGAAACCCGTCTGCTGCCTGGAGCGCGTGGAATTTCTTCTAGTATTTTTCTTTAGATTTCAAAAGTTTTAGTTAAATGCTTAAAATAAAAAAAACAACATACCAATTAACCTAGCTCCAAAGTAAGCACCGTAGGCTTGTGTTATGGGATACGAGGGTGACCTATAGTATTCATAACCTGATACATATATAAATATATTTATGTATATAGAAATACATTTTAAACATCCATGACTGGAGTACAAATGCTCGTATTCATCACACGAACATCTGGACCTCTCGAGTAGGTGACACCTTGAAACCCGGGGTACAAACCACTCGACCACGGAGGTCGTCAACTGATAAAAGTACCCATTGTCAAACTTTGACATATTTTGCTTTGTATTTGACGTGATATTCACTAATAGTCACATTTAACTATGTATCATCAGCGGGGCTTTAACTTCTGCGGTCCATTCAATCGTATCTATAATGCTCAGTTAACGTAACATAAACGTAGAGAATAGGAATTTACCCAAAGGATAAAAACGGAACACCATTGCTGGCACTCTGTCGACTGTCTGTCTGTCCGTAAGTCGTGGATCTCTAGATCGTAAACGGAATAAGTTACAGAACTGAAAATTTGGTATTTTACTTAAAATGCTTGTCCAAAGCCGAATATTTAGTGATGCCCTACAGCTACACGGTGGGGTAAGCGATGAAAAAATGGAAACATGTACGGGGAGCTACCCTAAAAAAAATATTTCAAATTGTATCCCACCATTTTGTCGGCAAAACATACCTCCACAAACTTAACCCCATTGCTGGCACTCTGTCGACTGTCTGTCTGTCCGTAAGTTGTGGATCTCTAGATCGTAAAAAGAATAAGTTACAGAACTGAAAATTTGGTATTTTACGTAAAATGCTTGTCCAAAGCCGAATATTTAGTGATGCCCTACAGCTACACGGTGGGGTAAGCGATGAAAAAATGGAAACATGTACGGGGAGCTACCCTAAAAAAAATATTTCAAATTGTATCCTACCATTTTTACGGCAAAACATACCTCCACAAACTTCCCCGGTTTGGCAGAACCGGGGACGGACAGAGAGACGGTCATGACGAAACTATTAGGGTTCATGGTCAGGGGGCCATTCGCCTAACGGAAATGCTTTTGAAAACGCTAACGCTTTCGATTTTATTTCTTTATTTCTGACCGCCGAATGTTTTCAAATACCTCACGCTCATTTTTATTAATATTGTTATTACCAATGCAAAAGAAAAAAAAAAGAGCGCGAGGCATTTGAAAACCTCAGGCGGCTAGAAATAACAAAATGAAATCGTAAGCGTTAGCGTTTACCAAAGCATTTCCGTTAGGCGAATGGCCCCCTGGACTAAGAAACCCTAAAAACTAAACTTATCTAAAGTAAAAAATAATAATTTCTATCTGAATCATTCAAACTTCTTAGATTAGAGAGTAGTACTCATAGTACGTAGTGATGATAATTATTATGAAATAATCAGACACAGTTCGTATTTTTACCCGACTGCGCAATGCAAGAGCGCGAAGCGCGACGCGCAGACAGGGAATAGTGTTTAACAGTCTATATATGTATGTTTGTTCCTTTGTGGCACACTAGACACCAAACGCCTGAACCGATTTTGATGATTCATACATCAATCGATTCGTCTCAATCATGGGAGTGCTACTAAAGATATGATAGTAATCAAAATTCAATATGGGCAAAATTAGGCGCCATATTGTGACGAAGTAAAAAAAAAAAGTTGACAAAATATGTTGTGTGGGGTATCATTGTCTAGATAATCAAAAATCATGTTTAGGTTCCTTACACCATTTTTCATTTTATATGATTATTTAGGATCTACAACGCTTTAAAGTTGAATATTAACCACTTGCGCTTTTAATTTCAATCTTACGTTTGTATGAATCTTTGTTACTCTTTCACCTAAAAAATACTGAATAGATTTTTATGAAACTTAAAAGTAATATAGCTCATATATGATGCTAACATATATATAATAATTTATGTAGTTATTGAGTGAATTGGCCAAAATATAACAATAAGTGTCACATCAGACGGAAAAATCTCCCATCTGCGAGCAATTTTGGCCTGCACTGCAAAAACAACAAAAGTTACATGAATGTATAAATATTTCGAAAATAATATCCATGATTGCACTATTTGCAATACCTACTAGGCTGATAGCAGCACGCTTGATAGGTGGAAGTACTCTTCATTCGAGCTTTACACTACCAATAAAAAAGGGTCGATCACAAAGTCTTTGACCTGTTATTGGTGAACACTTTAAAACAAAACTACAAAGAGAACTATAAAGTGATAATAAATGAGATTGCTATGGTGCTCTACCTAACGTTATGAAAAAAATATTATTCACCTTTAGTTTAATCAAATATTATAAACTTTGCTTTGGTGATTGCATAATTATTTAATATAGCGATCTAAGGCAGTTGCCACCATTGTCCAAAACAACAGACGGGAATTACTGCTTTCTTCAACCTGCGACATAAACGTATTGATTGGTTTTGTATATAGGATGATTATTATTATTATGGTTCTGTGAATAATGTAGGTATATCAAATTATGAGACTAGGATATGACACTGCATTTGCAGACCCGTCTTTCCCATTGCGTACTTTGGGCAAGTGCCCAGGGCCCCGCGATCGATAGGGGCCCCCCTCAGATCAAATATAAAGTCCCTAGTTCCTGTTAAATCACCAAACGGAAGTCATAGGGGCCCCATTATGCTAATATGCCCAGGGCCTCCAATCCAATAGGTCAAAGACGGCACTGTGCATTTGTGTATATCACAATCTTAGAGCCGGACGTTGACATGAAAATGCAGCCCATTTTTAAATAGTTGACGAATAAAAGTAAATGAATTTTATATTTACTGCTAAACTACTAAAAAGAACATAAACAAAAGATAAATTTTTGAATAAGTGCTAGCTTAGTATAAAATTTACATACATTAGATAAATAGGTAACGTGTTGATTTAACTTCACACATTTTTGCGAAAATTGATACCCATTTGTAGCCTTGACCCCGCTGGTAAAGTCTCTATATGTCTTAACAAATCAATCGTTTAGACCACCGCAAGGTACTTGATAATTCCCGCGATATTAATTCCCTTACTGAAGTAACAAGACTACGGTATATACCGTCTTATAATACTAACTAACTAAAAAGTGTGAAATAAAAAAGGTAAATTTCATAAATCAAAAAACCCAACTGCTTAATTATACTACAGATAAAAACTGAAAAGAAAAAACAAGTCCAGTAGTCTATAATTCTGTTAATAAGGAACAAAGCTACTTTAACAGTCGGGACCCATAATTGAAAAATATTATGTATTCTTGAATATCTAATGGGACCCGACTGTTAAGGTAGCTTTGTTCCTTATTAACAGAATTATAGACTACTGGACTTGTTTTTTTCTTTTCAGTTTTTATTTGAAGTATAATTAAGAA